CTGCCCAAAGAGTATTTCTGATGGGAATTAATTTACCCAATGACTTCAGCTACTGAACTTCTGTTTATTTGGGGTATGATTATGAAACTAATTAAACAACTTTGTCCAGTATTTGAACTTCTACTGCTTCATACATCAGACTAAATATTTTGGGTCACATGACTTGAAAAATTACCTGATTCTGTGAAAGTATGCATACAAATGAATCAGAAAAATGACCCAACTAATAGAAAATGGATGCTTTACACATTCACATTTGAAGTTAAAAAGATAAAACATAATGCATTAGTGAATGAGCCTCACTTCTCTATTATCAAAACTACCTGCTCATATAATACCCAAATGTTTTACCAGAATAAATTTATTCCCTGAAGTGGACCAAAAAACAAGACAATGAAAGCATTCATTTACAAGTTTTTATAATTAATTATTTATTAAGTTGTATTAACTTTTAATTAACTTCTTATGCAAATGAAACACTTCTATAAATTTCTGCGCATACCCTACTACCTTAATCTGTCTCCTAAAACTTTTCAAAGAAAATGTTTTCAGACAGAAACACATTTAATTGACCAATCTATAAGAAATAAAAAATATGATGTGATAAAGTTAATAGAATACTGCCTTCCTCTCCCACCCCCAGGCTGCTGCTACATAATATGCACAATTTAGGTGCTTGGACCTGTCATATTTTATATCATCATGAACATACTATTGTCCTAGAGACAGTTGTTCCAATTACAAATGAGTTTGGGCAGCTAAGGGGACAATAAGCTACATTCTTGGAAATGGCACTAAGAACATGAGGTGAAGGCAGAGCATTGCACAGTTTACATTGTACTATATAAATTGCTTTAACATTCCTGTTATAATTCCTTCCTTTCATATCAAATCGCTCCAATTTTTAACAAAAGTAATGAGATAGTGTGAACATAGTTTAAATAAAACTATGATCAAAAATATAATAGCTAACTTTAAAAAATACAGGCACTCACTCAATGGTTTATGTTTAGGATGACGTGGTATTTGAAATTTGCAACTGTCAAACAAGTTGCCTCTTGCAAGTGTACTTAATCTACCTGTCCAAATAAAATTAAGTTCCTTAAATGAAACTGTAATACAGGAAGACTCACGAATATAGGGGATACAGTATGATGAGAGTAAGTCTAATAGTTTTGAAGATGTGCTTTAATTTTTCAAATTAAAAAAAACACAATTAGCTATAAAGAGATGCACAGTTTTTAAGTAACCTACTGAAAGATTATTCTAAACTCTTCTTTTAAATTTACCGAAATTTCCATAAGGCTAACGTGCTATTCAATATTAAGACACTGCAAAGTATCACAGAGGTAACAGGTCTTGACAAATGTAGTTTTGCTGTATTTTCTTCAAACAGTTCACTAGCCCTACTCAGAAGATTTTGTCAGCCCCAAAATAAAATAATCACAAAACACTACTGGTTCTTGATTCTTAAACAAAATTTAATTAGCATATCACTTTAGCAGCTTTTACAGTCCCTAAGGAAAGGAACCTCTCCTGGGTGAGAACCCTGAAAGATTAGTTTTGAGAGCCTGAGAAGCAGTAGAATTGTCAGAATTATTTTCAATCACCAGTTACCTTACAGAGCTTCTGATACCGAGGAGAAGAAACTGCCATCCTTTGTAACCGATGTAACAAAACCACAACTTTCTGCAGAGACGTTCTCACCACAGCCATCATTTTAAGTTTACCACACTTCTGGAGGCACCTCAGAATTTGCATTATAAATGAAGAGCAATGATCATTTCCTCCTGGTCACTGGACAATGATTTGCCAGTTCTCTGAGCATGCTCGTTTCCAGGAATGCATTTGAAAGATAACAGGCGCTCAGGTTCTTGGCAAAAGGAGGCTGCTATGCCTTCAACTTCTTCTCAATTTAAAAAAACGTACGCAGACGCCACCCAGAAAGCCCCCCAGCAGATGCTCCCAGCCAGTACTTGCTCAGCCGGGCACGGCCAGGAAACGAAGCAAGTTGAGCAGCCAAACGCTGCCTGCTGCTGGAGAGGAGCGCGCTCAGTAGCCAAAAAGGATATTAAGTGAAACATTAAAGCTGCAGATATGAGGCAGACACCCCCTGGGAACAGAGATTCAACACATCACCACCGCGGTGCATGCCTCCTAGCGGGTTTGTATTAAGAGATCAAGTAGCATTCACTCTCTCACTGTAAAGAGGGATGCATTCACCACCGGACTAAACGCAGCTCTGGCCGTGCTCTGTGCGATGAGTGAATAGACTCTGTTATAAATCTTGAGAAGAGCAGAAGGTACCTAACTCTAATGATATCAGCCTCTCCGTTAAGTGCTAATAAATCACCTCGCGACAGGTCTCAGAACAAGATCATCTAAAACAAAACAAAACAAAAATACCTGCAGGGGGGTCTGTGGCTTTACCTAAAAGCAGAGTCGCAGATGCTACCTAGGACGAAAGCCATTCAAAATCCAATTCTAATGGTAGGTTAGGACTCCTCTAATTTAACAGCAAAGTTAATAAAACATAAAAGTCTGTAACTGACCACTGAACATTCCAAATGACCACACTTCCTGATAGACAGCATCTTCATGATCTCAATTCATGTCATAAAGCTGTTTCAGTTTAATGAGTAAGAAATAGAAGACATGATTATATGATGTAAAAACCAAGTACAGAATTTCTGACTTTCATAGGCATGTGTACAACTTGAGATGCATTTTCTCAAATTGCAGCTCAAAGACCACTATAAGTATCCAGTGGGGGAAAGCACTTTTAGGAAATCAGCAAAAATAACCCAGAATGATTAAATGACCGAGTCAAAGGGCACAGCCAAAAATAGGACCCAGACGTTTCTCATTATCAGTGTCCTGCTCAAACGAATAACGCAGGAAATGTTGCCTTTTCCTCTTTCTCTACTATTATCATGATTTTTTAAAGGAAACACAATATTTAACGTATGTTTTACTTCTTTTGCCTTCTCAGTCCTTGATTTTAGCCTGATTTAAAGTCCCTTACTGGTCAGAGAGAGTTGTGTTCATCAAGCAGTGTTTCGGTAGGCTTCTGCTTGTGTATTGTGTTTTCCCATGTATGTCTATACTGAGAACCTATACTGCCTCCTTCTGGATAGGCTAGCAATATCAAAATAGCTACACAAAGGCAAAATCGGAAGAGAAGTAGTCAGTTGATGATAGCAGCCAGTTAAAAATACTAAGTTATTAAGCAAAGATATATAAACAGAAATTAGATTATTGATTATTTAGGGCTGGGGGATTAGGAAGCTGCAAATGGGAGACTGATAGCTAAGGGGTATAGGGTTCCTCTCAGAAGTGATGAAAATGTTCTAATTTGATTGCAATGATGATTGCATAATTGTGAGTACACTAAAAACAATCAAATTTAAATGGACAAATGTATGGAATATGAATTATATGTCAACAAAACTATTATCAAAAAATATGAAGTTGTAATTTCTGCCCATAACCCAACAGGGGAGGTTTCCATGGTACAGGTATATATATCTCCCCCAAAACACGATGCTGGGTATGGAGCCAGGTACAGGGGAAGATTTGATCAAAGTCTGAACCTATCAGGATGAAAATTAGGCTGAAAGAGAATACAGAGATGAAAAATAATAATTCCAAACACATATTGTTAGAGAACAAAACCAGCCACCTGTTATAACACCACCTGGAAAAGTAGCAAGGCAGCATGATTTTACCCAGGAGAGAATCAGAGCAGCTAGGCTCATTAGTACTGGTAAAAGGTAAAGCTCACATTTTAAAAAAATAATTAAAATGATAATGTGTTAGAATGTGGGCATGAAAATCATGAATAAATGCATTTGAATTAATAGATAAAGTGGGAAGTCAGTAATAGACATTCATTCAAAAACAACGCAAAGTTTCTCTGAGTCTTTGGCCAAAGTCTTTCATCTGAATGCAGATCCATAGTGACAAATGCATACCAGGCATCTCCTCCTGGATGGTACACAAATGCCTCACTTCAACACAGTCGAAATGAAACGTCCCATCCCGTCACCTTGCACTGCTGCCCTGACATTTTATTTTCCTGCATTCCTAATTGCAGGCTCTAATACCACCTGGCAAGCTTCTGTGTCTCTACCTCTTCCCTTCCCTTAGTGGACCCTTACTAGCAAGTCATTAGGTGTATGCCCCCTGCTATTGCCTATTCCTGGTCATTATCACCTCTGAGCAGTTGGCTACAAGATATCCTAACAGACTGCTCTGCTCAGTCTTGCCCAGTTCAGGCCCATTCCTCCTCAGCTAGATTCCTATAAAATACAAATCCCATTGCATCACTCTATTGCTTAATATCCTCTAATGACTTCTCCTCATTGCCACCAGGTTAAAATATAAAATAGCAAGGAGACTTCTCCATCAAAGCAGATTTTTAAGCAAGTTCTAGGTGAGATGGCCTGCCATTGACAAGAATAAGTTATTCTACACAAAGAAAATGGGAGTTCAAGGACACTGATTCACTTGTATTTGAGGATAGAAGAGGGATGCAGATGTGCTTCATAAGATCCCTCATAAACTTTTTTAAAGGAAAGATTTTGTATTACCACATTTTGTGTAGAAGGAAAACTTGAACCTGAGACTGAATATATCATATTTATCAAGCCAAAGACATAAAAGTAATACCTTCAAGCCCAATGTTCTTAGTTGTAAACTGAGCCATAGAGCCTTTATAGCTTTTATATTAGGTATTTATAATAAATAGAGAATGAAACAACTAATATTAAGAGGAAATGTTCTTATAATGTAAGATTCAATAAGGCTAACTGTAATAGGGCTTGAAATGATAGAAAACAGAATAGCTATGAGTCTAGAAGTCTAAATAAACAATTATTACTTCCATAAAACAAAGTGTTTTCCCCAATTATTAAGTAAGTGTATTTTACAGATCTTATTTCCAAAAACCAATTATTCACAGGAGAGCATGGATGCCATAACAGAATAAGGTGACAACCTCACTTCTGAATGGTAATAAATCTTAATGGTAAACAAGCACTGGTCACATTTTTCTGGGCACTTGCCTGCATCTGCTGTGTGAGCTCCTTGGCCAAGACAGTGTCCTGAAGAGCATTCTCCCGCTGAGAGGCATCTGCAAGGACATTCACTGTGGTTTCTGCTTCTTGTAGCCACTTTAGGAAATTCTCCAGGTCCTTGCGAGAGGCCTGCACTGCCCTCAGCTCAGCCTCCAAGGCATTCTGTCTGTCAGCAATGCTGCAAGAAACAAGATGGGCAAGTCTCCATTACTTACAGTGTGACAGGCCTCATTATGACACACTAAAGAGAAAATCAGCAGACAGCTTCAAAGGACCTCAATTTCTTCAAGCACCTAACGGAATTGGAGGATTTATTCATGTGTGTCTTGAATAATCCATAATGGAGGGATAATGTGAATTGTGAGAGGAAGAAGAGGGAGAGAGGCATAACTCAACAAAAATCACATCCATATCACAAAATAATTATGACTACATTTTTATAACTCATAATTGTATGTTATTCCCCATATGTTTTATTTCAATACCCTAGTATGATGCATGACACAAAGGCAATACCAATAAATATGTACACAATGAGTGACTAAGTGAATCTAGAAGTAGCATCTGAAGAAACTTTTAAGATAAAATAAAAATAACTTAAAGAGCTAATTTTATATATTTTAAACAATTCAGATGAATACAAATTGGTTCTTTAAGTTGATTTAATAATATTATTCTTGAAAGACATTGGATAATCAAGCTTTTATATGCCATTCATTTAATCTACAAAGAACTACTCTGGAGTTTCATGATTTAAGAGATACACACACTGTATCAACCTTTAAAACTTTATAGACATCAAAACTCTGTAATAAGAAAACAAACAACCTAATTTTAAAATGTATACAAATGAAATTACTCCCAGGTATTTAAACTCAAGAGAACTGAAAACATATGTCCACTCAAAAATTTGTACACAAATATTTATAGCAGCATTATTTATAATAGCCAAATGATACAATCAACCCAAATATCTATCAATTGAGAGGGGAATTGATAAACAAAATATAATATATTCATACAGAAAATATTATTCAGCCATAAAAAGGAATGAAGTATCAATAAATGCTACAACATTGATGAACCTTGAAAACATTATGCCAAGTGAAAGAAAACAGATACAAAATGCCCCATATTGTGCAATTTCATTTATATGAAATATTGCCAAAAAAGATAAATCCATAGGGAGAGAAAGTCAATTAGCTGTTGACTAGGACTGGGGGTGGAAGCAGTGGAGACGGACTGCTAATAAGTGGTGGGTTTCATTTAGTGGTTATAAAATGTACAAAAATTAAGAGTATGGTGATGTTTTTACAACATGGTAAATATACTAAAGTTTACTTAATTGCACACTTTACCAGGGGTGGGGAACCTTTTTCTGCCAAGGGCCATATGGATATTTATAATATCCTTCACAGGCCACACAAAATTATCAACTTAAAATTTAGCCTGCTATATTTGGTCAAACATTTAATTAACTCACCCCTAATTCCTTGGCAGGGCTAGACAAAAAGATTCTGTGGGCCTTATAAGGCCCATGGGCCAGATGTTCCCCACCCCTGCTTTAAACGGTTAATTGAATGGTATATAAACTATATCATATTTTCTTAATTAGCAACTGTGACAGACTTTGCTAAAATCTCTTAAACAAGCCACAGCTAGAGAGGAGATTAAAAATGGCAGTGGAGTAAGTGGGAACTACACTGACACTCTCCCAGGAAATACAACTAAAATACAGAAGAACCACCCTGAAAAATCAACTGAGGACTAGTTGAGAGATAACCAAGAAAGAAAGTGGAGACTGCATTGAGACTGTTAGGAAGTGCAGAGGCACAAAAGGGCTGGCCTGGCTTCCACAATCAGCAGCTGAAGTGCCAGAGGGATATCTCAGCTGTGGCGGATTCCCACTGAGGACTCTAGGGTCTAAACACCAAGCTGGGTTCCCCACCCAGAGCACCAGAACTGAGAATGGTGCCCACATAACATCTGGCTGAGAAAAGCAGGAGGGCTGCTATCTGCCAGGGAGAGACTACTGGAAATGCAGGCACCCTCTAAAAGGGCCAATACACAAAATTTCGTGTGCAGCCACTCACCTTGGGCTCTGGCAGAGGGAGGGCAGAGTGGACTGGAGCTGAGCGAGGAAATTCCAGGGTTGGAGGCTCTGGGTTTGGAGCTCAGAGGGAAGCCAACCCGGTTTCCTAAGTTGAGTCATTCCCTCATACTGTGAAGACATCTTTCTCTGGCAGACCTTTGCTATCCAGGTGGTTGTTGCCTGGGAAAAAGGCAGTTGCCACACCCTCTTGGAAAATCTCTCACCCCACCCTGTGGTCAATAGCCTGACGCAAATCAAAGCTGATAAAAATCAGACTACAGGCAGAGGAGGATCTCTGGAGGCTTTAAGTCTTTGTCTGATCTCCTTCTGGAGCTGGGGCTAGGAAAAGCAGACCCCGGTGCACAACTTGGTCCTTTCCAAAGGCACCTAGACCCAGCAGAGGGAGCACAAATTGTGGATTATTGATAGCTCCAAACAGGGGACTCAGGGCCAGTCAGAAACAACATTTGACATTGTCCTGCACTAGAGATTGGGAGTAACAGCAGATTTGCCTAATACATAGATAGAAAGGCAAACAGGCAGCCAAAATGGGGAGGAAAAAAAAACACACAAAAACAAATAAAAGAACAAAAGAATTCTCCAGAAGAAGAGCTAAACAAAATGGAGATAAGAAATTTATCAGATGTAGAGTTTAGAATAATGATGTCAAAGAAGCTCAACAGCATGAGAAAAGATATAGCAACTATGAAAGACCGGTTGGAACTAAAAAATGACATAACACTAATAAAGAACACATTGGAGGATTAGACAGCAGATTAGGGGAAGCTGAGGATTAGATCAGTGAATTAGAAGATAGGATAGAAAAAAATCACTCAATCAGAGAACCAAAAAGAAAAACAATTAAAAACAGGAGGACAGCTTAACACATTGCAGAACAGTAGTTTTATTGCTAGCTTTATCCAGTGGCCAGTTTAAGTTTCTATTGAAAGAGTACAAAAAAAACATTTTACATAAATGTTAAAGGCATGCTTTAAAATTAAATACCCGTTGCATTTTTGAAGTTATTTATTACATGTTCTTACAAGCTAATATCTTTTTAAAATATGATACTTTGTATAACACTGTGTAATATGAAGCGAGAATTCTCATGATCCATCCACAATGTGTTAAGGGAGTTGTGAGACAGCCTGAACCGTAACAAGATTCACATAATAGTTATGCCAGAAGGAGAAGAAAGTGAACAAGGAATAGAGAACATGTTTGAAGAAATAATGGCAGAAAACTTCCCTAACCTGGTGAAAGAAAAGGTCACATAAGTGCAGAAGGCACAGAGAGTCCCAAGCAAGAAGAACCCAAACAGGCCCACGCCCAGACACATCATAATTAAAATGCCAAAAATTAAAGACAAAGAGAGAATCTTAAAGGCAGCAAGAGAAAAGCAATTTGTTACCTACATAGGAGCTTCCATAAGCCTGTAAGTTGATTTCTCATCAGAAGCTCTACAAGCCAGAGGGAATGGCCTTTCAAGGTAATTAAAAACCAGGATCTAAAACCAAGATTACTATATCCAGCAAGGCTATCATTCAAAATAGATGGTGAAATAAAGGGCTTCCCAGGACAAAAAAAAATTAAAAAAAAGGAAAAGGAGCTTATCACCACCAAACTAGCACTGCAAGAAATGCTAAAGGGACTGCTATAATGAGAAGAAAAAATAGACAAAGAGAGAAACATAAGTACACAGAATTAAAATGGCAATAAACAAGTACCTATCAATAAAAACCTTAAATGTAAGTGGATTAAATACTCCAGTCAAAAGACATAGAGTAGCTGAATTGATACAAAAACATTATCCAATCATATGCTGTCTCCAAGAGACCCTCTTCAGAACAAAACACATGTGATGAAAATGTGAGTGTGGAAAAATATTTTCCATGCAAATAGAAATGGAAAAAAAGCTGGAGTAGCAATACTCATGTCTGACAAAATAGACTTCAAAATGAAGGCCATCACAAGAGACAACAAAGGCCACCACATAATACTAAAGGGATTGACTCAACAAGAGTATATAGCCCTGGTAAACATATGCACCCAATATAGGAGAACATAAATATATTTTTAAAAATCTTCTAGAGGACTTTAAGGGAGAGATCGACAACAATACAGTCATAGTAGGAGTTTTTAACATCCTGCTGACTTCACTGGATAGATCTTCAAAAAAAAAATTTTTTAACAAGGAAATAGTGACTCTAAATGACACACTGGATCAGATGGATTTAAATGACATTTACAGAACATGTCACCCCAAAGCAGCAGAATATACATTCTTCTCAAGTGCACATGGGTCATTCACAAAGATAGACCACATGTTAGGACACAAAACAAGTCTCCACAAGTCCAAGAAGACTGAAATCATATCAAACAGATCCTCAGATCACAATGGAATGAAATTAGAAATCAACTACCGTAAAAACACTCAAACACATGGAGGCTAAATAGCATGTTATTAAACAATGAATGGGGTACCAATGAGATCAAGAAGGAAATAAAAAACTTCCTGGAAACAAATGAAAATGAACACACAACAACCCCAAATCTCTGGGACACAGCAAAAGTAGTTCTGAGAGGGAAGTTCATAGCACTACAAGCCTGCCTCAAAAAACAAGAAAAAGTAATAATAACTATTTAACCCTACAACTTAAAGAATTACAAAGAGACCAACAAGAAAAACCTGGAGTAAGTAGAAGGAAGGAAATAATAAAGATTAGAGCAGAAATCAATGACATAGAGACAAAAAAAATACCAATGAAACCAAGAGATGGTTCTTTGAAAAGATAAACAAGATTGA